CACTGTTGCAAAAGCTATGCTGGCACAACAACTGAAAGATGGAGAGTTGTGGCTGGGGACTCTGGATGTCACAGAAGCTGCTAGCATGGTGTGCATTCTGCACACAACATAGCATGTGGCCTGTGGTGCCCTGGGTATGCTTACTAAACTTAATTTAATCTGGGGAAAGGCTGGTACAAGAGAGGCCAAAGAGAGCTGAGGAGCCAGGATTCTGGAAAACCCTCCTTCTGGTGAACCTTGTGAGCATGCACTGTTGGCACACACCTCGCTCCAAAGTGATGTTAAATGTGTGTTTTGGGTATTGTGTTAAGTGCTGACCTTAGCTCTGCATCTGTGCTGCAGCCATGATCTAAGGGTCTCTGTTCTATCCTTGCTTACCATCCACAAAGGGCCTTGGGCCCTGTCTTAGTTAGGGTTTCTATTGCTGTAAAAAAGACACCACAACCCCAGCAACTCTCATAAAGGAAAATCATTTAATTGGGGTGGCTTACATTTCATCATAGTGAAACATGGTGGTTTGCAGGAAGATATGGTGCTGGAGAAATAGCCAGATGTCCTCATCTTGACTAGTAGGCAACATGAATTGGTCTGAGATACTGGGTGTGGCTTGAGCATAAATAAGACCTCAGAGCCCACCTCCGCAGAGACACACTTCCTCCAACAAGGCTACACCTACTCCAGCAAAGCCACATCTCCTATAGTGCCCCTATCCTTGGGGGGACATTTTCTTTCAAACCAGCACGGGCCCCATGCAACCAGGCATCGGTCCTTAGGAACATTGCCATCTGCTCATGGGGGGATAAATTTAAACTCAGGTCCTCAGGCTCACACAGCACACACTGTCCACTAAATCCTCTCCCCAGTGTTTGTGTGTGTGTGTGTGCTCATGCGTGCGTGCATGCATGCGTGCGCGCCCTATGGTATATATGGAGGTCAGAGGACAGCTTCAAGGAATCAGTCCTCTTTCATCAAGAGGGTTCTAGGGGTTGAACTCAGGTTGTCAGAAGACTTAGTGCAAATACCTTGACCCACTGAGCCATCTCACTGACCCCCATTACTGGTTTCTGTGACTAATTCTCTGTCTCATGAGTTAGTATGCTTAGATCTCCAGGTATGAGAACATGAGCATTCATGGTCTCTATTTCAATTCCTGACAGACTATTGTCATATAAAAAGGAGGTATGATTGTGTACATTGTACTTGCTTCTGGAATCACATGTGTTCACCTAACAAGCTTACCAATCTCTTAGTCACTCCTGCTTCCTGGACTGGTTTGTCTTCTCTGTCTCAAAAATGTTCATTGGTATCTCCTACCATGGTGGACGTTTCTTTGTGTTTCTTCCCAGTACTACACATCTTAAGCTAGTTTATAGAAGAGTATCAAGCCATCCTGTTCTTTGGGTGAACTGAAGCTCTGTCGCTACCATGCAGCCTTCTTTACACCCAGTCACAGTCAGCCCTCAAGTCTCTGTGCTGCTGAACATTTAAGATGCCTCTCGGCCTTTTGGCCAGCTGCACCCAGCGACCCTTGTTTTTGTCATTGACTTCCAGCCGACCTCCTAGATTTCTTATATATCTTTGCTAAACAGTCCAAAGCTGAGGTCTGTTTCTACACCAGTTGTAAGTGGCACCTTGGTCATTTTCAGCTCTTCTGATCACTTCTCCAGTCTCATTCTGTCTGCCTTGTCTTATAGCTCCCAACTTTCCTTCTTTGCCATCTCTTAATGTGAGCCAATGAGGATCCCTAAACTCCCTGTGTTCCCAGTGCCCAGTTGAAAGATGTGCAGCAGGCGTCCTCCCCATGGGCCGGCACTCTCAGCAGGGTCGGTCGGGAGGTTTATTCCTGGGGAGCCAAGGCCTGGACTGCAGTGGCCTCACTGGGATCTCCAGGATGAACATATGACCTCTATATTTAAGAAACTGTTGTTCATCGGAAATTCTAATTTAACTAGATCGTCATGTTTTTCTGCCAAACTGGCAGCCAAGTCCTAGCCCCTCCCAGGCTACATGCCTTCCTCTCACTTATTTAATTTCACTGACTGGACATTTTCGTTGCTGTCATGTGTCACCCACGTTGGGTCTGGGCCACATTGCACTCTGGAGATTTCTTTCCCCATTATCCCTCATTTCCTGCCTTCCTGCAGGACATTCTTACTGTGTCTCAGGAATATCCTGTGGGTTTTCTCTTGGAAAAGGGCAACACTCCACTCTGTTTTGAGGAGATGCTATGGCAGCTTCACTGGGCATATGATGTAGCCAGTGTCCTCTTGGCACAGAGCCGCTGCCCTTTGCTTGTCTTGCTGTGCGTGCCCATCGTCCTGACTGGAGATGACCTGCTGTCTCTAGCTACTCTGAGGGTTCTGAGTCTGCCTTTGATGTTCTGCAGTTTGTTTCCAGCGTGCCTAGAGATTTCTGGTTTTGCTGTCCCTGCGGACCTCTTCCCTGCCTAAGCCTGGGATTTCCAGCACTGGAGAGTACATGGTCATTTATTGCAGGATATTTGATCTCACTGTGACACTCCGAAACTTAATAAAGTTAACCTTGAATCAGGAGGTGGAGCCAGTGACTAGCTGACTATAATTAGCCTAGAGAAACCAGGAATTTGGCTGAGAAGATGAAAAGGAAGGAAAGCGTGGGATTGGAGTTTGGCACTTCCTTTTGGGTTTAGGACAAGTGAAGAGACACACCTCTTGCTCTGTCTCCATCCAAAAAGCAAGGACAGCTGGCTGTTTCTGGGCTTCTCTGATCTAGCAGGTTTTCACCCTCACATCCAACTTCTGAGTCTTTGTTGGTCAATAGAGGCTTAGTTTAAACCTACATACATATCGCAGCCGTGGCAGAGCCAGGGCCGCAGAGCCAGAAGGCCCTCCAGGCCACAGCTGACAGAAAAACATCAGTCGCAGTCGTTCCTTCCTCCAGTGCTCATTCCTGAGAGCTGGGGAACTTTGCTGGGGCCTCCCTCTCTCCTGAACACTGGCTGCTCTGCCTCATCCCTTCAACTATAGCACCACTGTTTGCACTGCCCAGCTTTCTGTACCCTTATATTCTGGTTGTTAGTATTTCATGCAGGTCAGAACTCTGGCTTCCCGAGTCTACCAGGTCAGGTTCAGTGACCTCTTTCTTTCATCATTGAAAACACATTGAACATGTGTAACTACAGTCTTTGATAATCCAGATGAACCTTTTATTTGGGGTGGGGGTGTCGGTGACAATGCCTAAGTGCCCGCACACCAGTCAGAAACCTTCCCCTTTTTCCAACCTTCCCACTACTTGAGTCTTTGTCATAGCCTGGAAACCGACTCTCCTCTGAGTGTCCACAGAACTCCAGGTATATCTGGATGTCACCAGCTCTACACAGGACCCTTCCTCTGTTCCACCCAGGATCTAGTGTTGAGCTTGATTCTTCTGTACCCCTTGGTCTCCCCTGCCTGTCCCACCTCCCATCATGACTCTAATGACCTTTGGGAAATTCTGGTCAAGATTTTCTGGAATTTGTCTGTTTATGTTGGCCAGTGTAAGTGTGAAATGTCCCTTACAAACTTGTATGTTTGACACTGTTGAGGAAGTTATATAACTTTGTCTGCAGGGCCCTCAGGCAGTTTGTTTTCACCTGTGCTCCTGCCTGGTTGCCTGTGGGGCTGCTCTCCCCATTGCACCTCCCTCCAAGATTTACTGAGCCCTCAAGCCCTAACCTAAACAAACCCTTCCTCCTATCACAGCAGTGCAAAAAATATGTGTGGGGTTTTGCTCATGGTGATAAACTTGGGGAGGGAGATGTCAGTGGCCTGACCATTGTCAGTATTGTACCATGAGGCTGCACGGAGCTGTATTCACTTCAGTTACCTTGCCTTCACTTGAAGTCACCTCTTTTCCCCTGTATGAGGTATAGGTAGAGAAGCAGTAAGTTCTGTGTCCTGGAATTATTAGCAGTTCTATCAAGAATATCTGTCTTCCCACACATACACTTACTTAATTCTGTGTTTATGCTCGGGTTAGAGTTTGGGTGATGACTCCATGCTGTGTTAGCTCAGTGCTCAGCCTGTCCTAACTGTGGCCGTGAGACGCTGTTCTACATTGACCCTCTGTGTTTTCTGGTGTCCCTGTGGCTTGTCTTAAGCAGGTCCTAATTCTAACTTCATTGGGTGCTGCAAGCTTCTCCAGTCTTTTCCTGCCGAGCCTGACCTCAGTCATTGTTGCTTTAGTTGCTGAATAGCTTGAGGTTAATGCCATGTTGGCTCCACTAGCTGGCTGTATTGAGTGATGTCTTCGGTTAGAAGGTCGTGCTTCCTGGGATGTAATTGGCAGCACTCACATGCAGCCAGTTTGGGGATGGATGTCATACAGAGGGCTGCAGTGACTTGGCCAAATGCCCTGGATCAGGAAGCCCAACAACTATACTTGGCAGCTGTGCAGTCAGGTTGAGGCCAGGCAAACTCAGGGTGGCTTTATTTTATGGCTTCAACCCAGAGCCGAGGTAAGATCAGCTTCCCTTTAGAACTGGCTCTAGCTCTCCCTTTTGTGTGTTCTCCCTGGTCTCTAGGCCTGTCTGCAGAGCTATTGTTGGAGCTCATTCTGCCCTGGGGCCCTGCTACTTACTTTACGCCCTGTTGTTAGTCCTGTCATCTGTGAGAGACCTACTCACTTCCCTCCACTCACCTCCATCCTCCACATCCGTGAGAAAAGACAGATGAGAGATCTTGGGCATTGCAAGGCCGGGTCATAGAAGTGTAGCTTCAGAAACTAACCGTTCTTTCTCTGCTGAGTGGTACACAGCAATGGCACCAAACTGACATCCTCTGCAACTTCCTTCTGGAGTACAGTCCTTTGTACCCTTAAGGAGGAAAAATATGCCAGTCGTGTTGACTTTTTAGAGTTACTTTATCTTCCCAATAAATTACTGTATCTTTGGGAGCAAAGATATCTCTCTGAATATCTATTAACACATACATAGTTTATATGCCATCCATTTCCATCATAATATATCTGTGTCTCTCTTACAGCTTGAGCCTCTGCCAGAAAAGGTTCTGCAGCAGAGACCCAATGCCAATGCCGTCCACTCCATGGAGAAAGTGATGGACATCCACAGTAAGTGGCTGGCCAAGTGGTTTGGTCATGGGACCTGGGGTAGGAACACAAGGTCTCTTTTTCCCTGGCATTTGATGAACAAGAAGAGACTCCTAGAACCATTTCCTGTTACACCGGGATTCAAAAGAATCTGGGTACCAATGGTTTCAAGTTACTTCATTCTGATGCCCAAAACTAGCATGCTTTGGATTATAAATCCGTGTCCTGGACCAGAAGTACCCCGCATAGGATAGAACCCATTTCCTATTCAAGTTCCAAATCCCAGGGCTAGGCAGCAGGCACACAGCTAGGCACCCATGCGGCACCCTGCCTGCCCCAGGTACACCTGCCACCTCTTGTCTGGGCTTTCTGGTCTGCCCATCCTGGTACAAAAGCTGCATAGATGATGCACACCTGAAGGCTTCTCCTAACTTCCCATTGGGCCATTCAGTTCTGGCCTCAAAGCTATTTCTCCTGACGCCCCTACTCTAAAAAGCTGCTCAGACAGGGCTCCCTGTGCTGGGTCTGGATTTGGTTTATTCCCAGCATCTACAAGGCTCCGGAGAGCAAACCCCGGAAGTCTGCATATGCCTGCTCCCAGAATTTCTGCTTGCCCACAGCAAGGCAGAGACCTGTGAATGTGGGGAGCCAGGTCCCACAACAGTTCCAACCCAATGTCCAGTGGCCTGTGCTGCAGATAAGTGTGTGTGAGTTCATCACCAGGCAGCACTCTTCAGAGAGGCACTTTGCAAGCACAAGTGAAAGTTTTCATTGAGCCCAGTGACCTGTGAGCCAAGCCAGCAGAAGTGGGAAAGTCACTGAGTGTTCCCTCTTCCCTCAGGCAAGTACTGGCGCTGCCTGCAGCGATTGTCCTCCACCGTGGGGCACTCTCTAATTGAGGCCCAGAAGTGTGAGAACGAAGAAGCTGAGACTGTCACCGCCATGGCCTCACTGTCTGTAGGCGTCAAACCTGCTGAGAAGAGGTAAGCCCCTGCCCATGCCCTGGAAACACCTGTGCTTGAGGACCTGCCTGAATCTTAACTGTGTGCACCCAGCCTTATGCCAGGCTAGCCCTGGATGGACAGGACAGATGGTGGACATGCCCACTGACTCTCCAAACTAAAACTGTCCACCAGAGAATTGGGGCAGGGATCTCAACAACTCTGTGGGAAAGGAAGCCTGATTGCACAGGGCCTCACACACCATACCGGACCCCCTTCTCTCCACAGATCGGAGGAGGAGCCTATGGAGGAGGAGCCACCACTGTAGCCCTGAAGCTGCTGTTCTCTCCTTTGTTTGTCTGTCTTGAAGCTCAGCCAAGAAACTTTCCCGTGTCATTCCTGCGTTCTGCCTTGGTGCTCTCTCTGAGTGCAAAGGGACACCAGGCGTGCAGCAGCAACGGGAGGCCTTTCCGCCGCCCTGGACCACAGATCTGGAGACGCACACGAACACCAGGTGTGGCAGATCACATGGAACACAGGACAGCGTGCAACACACAGGCATACAGACATGCGGAAAGCCAAGCACACGCTGGTGGGTTCCCCAGGGGAAGACCGCGAAGGAAGAAGCCTGTAGCAACTGAGGCAGAGTTGCTGAATCAAGTTGACATGAGGAATGAAAATCAAAGATCTAATAATACAGAAAAAAACTTGATTAAAACTGGTGCTTAACATTTGATTCTTACCCACAATCCCACAGTCTCCGTGTAAACCACTCAACTCATCTTGTAGCTTTTTTTTTTTTTAAAAAAACAGAGAGTTTTCTATGGCTCTGGCCTGCCTTGTGAACCTTAGTGGGGTGCTGTGGGGGTTCACAGCTTAGTGAGGGACAGAGTTGGAAGAAATTTTAAAGAAAAAAAAAAACTGGACAGAACAGAAATGTGAGCCTGGGAGTCAGCTGGAGCTTCTCGAAGCCATCGGAAGATGCGAGTTTGTGCCTTTTTTTATTGCTCTGATGGATTTTTCTGTGGCTGGGTTTTCTGAAGTCTGAGGAACAATGCCTTAAGAAAAAAAATCACCAAGAATTGGTGTGACAGTGTCCTGTGGCTGGCTGAACTGGTGACACTGGCCTGGCCTTACAAAAGTATACGCCAGCCATTGTCTCCAGAGGCCACAGTACAGCCAGCCTTGCTTGGTTTGATCGCTGTTTAAGGAAGATGAGGTAGTTCCAAAAGCAGCGAACACCGCCGGCAGTTTTGAAGTCCACCACATTTTAAACGGATCCAAAGTGTTCTTTTCTCATCCGTCACGTAGCGGTCGAGCATCTCCATTCGGTTGTGAAGCATGTCGTAGGCACACTGCAGTGTTACGATCGGAATGCTTTTTATTAAAAGCAGGTAGCATGAAGTATTGCTTAAATCTTAGGTATAAATAAATATATATATGTATAATATATATTCCACTGTATTCCAAGCTAAGAAACTTGATTCTTATGAGATCTTGATAAAATATTTATAATGCATTTATAGACAAAGTATATATAAATATATATAATAAATTCAGACCACAGAGGTCCTGGCAGGTGAAAGACATGTGTGTTAGCTCTGAGGTGCTGAGGGCTGGGGTCTGGATTGAAGCCCAAGGAATTTTGAGCTCCAGATTGGACAGCTTCCAGATCGCCAACATGTTCACCCCTGGGCAACTTCCCTACCAGTTTGTACTTTAATTTTAATTATTTTCTATCAAAGCCTCTGCCCTCTCCAAGCCTCCATGCACATATGTACCTGATGAGTTTTTATAGCAAAGGATATAAACTTGCTGTTGATTTTTGTATGAATTTTTCACAAAAGATTCTGAAGAAAACATTGTTTTGTGGTTTTTACATTTTTTTCCCCTCACCATTCAGTTTTCTGAAGGTGGTACTGTCTAAAACTTTTTCTTTCTAAATTCTTTCTTGTACATTTTTTTTTATAACTGAAGGTTATTTTTATGGTTTGGTTTTGTTTCTTTTGTACCAAGCAGAGCGCTGCTTTGCGCAGGACCGCTGCTGTCATGCTTGGTTTTCAGAGTGAACCTCTCTCTCGGGAATGAATAGCACGTCTGCTTGTGCCCTTGCCTTGTCTTTTCAAGTTCCACCCAGGAGCTGCACAGCCAGGGGCTTCTGTCCTGCAACACTAGTAGTATTACAAGGGCAGGCAGGCCACGTGAGCCATTAGGGCGGTCGGCATTACTGAGGGTGGACTTGTTACCACTCCGTCAGGATAGAACTCCAGCTCTAGTTTCCCAAAGACCTTTGAAGCATGTCCACAGCGCCTGGCTTGGAGCCCGGCTCTGCACCTGTTCAGGGGCTTCTTTTGCAGCCTCACAGCCCTGGATTTGTAGCCCGTGGCTGCTGAACCAAGGCCCTTGTCACTTGAGCCCATAGGAGCACAGGGTCCTGAAGGACAGTCAGTCTTTGTCTTTGCTCTTTTTTTTTTCTATGACAACTGACTTTTTACTGCTAACTTTTTTTCTAGCACTTAAAGCCGCCAATTTCATTCCAAAGTATGTGGAGTTCAGACAAGAGGAAGTGAGATACTCAGAAAGGACACCCAGCTAAGTTTCTGAGTTAGGTGGCATTTACAGGGTAATGTGACAGACAAGCTGAGCACACATTCTTGGACTTTTGATCGCTGGGCTGCTGTGAGTCAGTGCTATGCTAAGGCAGTGGGTAGAGCGCAGGGTAGAGTGATCTTGGAGCATGTCTGACTCCTTCCTTCCTGTGGCTACTCTGGCCCTTGGCAGAAGGAGCCAATCTGAGGGAGCCCATGTGGCCCCTCCCCTGCCTGTAGCACTGCATGGTGGCAGAGGCCAGCTAGCTGCTCTGGCCGCCTTGGCCCATTTTCTGCACACCCTGCCACCTGTCCTCTTTGTGGCAGCCACGACTTGTGGGGAGGTACACATTATCTTACTTCTTCAGGTGATGGATCATAGGCTACTTGGCGGCCAGGGTACTGTGAGAGGGACTCACTTTGGTCCCATTAAGTCACCCTTTGATTCAGGGCCTGGCCAGGGAGCCAGCTCACTCCAGCCTCCCTGTGAGCTGAAAGCATTACCTACCACATAGCCTTTTCTTCCCTTTGAAGACGAGTGGCCCTTCCCCACAGTTGTCACCCAGAGAGGGCAGAAGGTCGGCCTTGACCTCCAGGGCAGGACCACAGCACTCCCCTGCCCGGACCTTGAACCTTCGACCTTCTCCCTTCCTTTACAAAGGCCTTGGTGGGTGCTGGCGAGGGAGCCGGGGGAGCAAGCACTTTACATCCCTTTAAGGGAAGCCCGAAGACACCATGTCCTCAAGATGCTGGTGTTCACTCACCCTTGGGTCTTCCAGCGGCAGCCTGAGAGCCCGTGCCCCACCAGCAGGTGGCTGTTACCAAGGCCCCACCCACAAGGACGTCTCGGGGCCCTGGCTTCTGAGGACCGCTTAATCAAAGTGTTTGAGTCTTTCTTTACTTTGAGATCTGTCCCCACGAGAAAGGACCATTTGCAATGGTCTGCGCAGCACTGGTGATAGACTTGGTTGTGTTTCTTTGTGTCAGAACATTCCTTCTTCACTGGTCACAGCCACGTGCTCATTCCATCCTTTTTTGTAGACTTTGGGCCCATGTATTTTATGGGCATTGATACATATATAAATATATAGATATAAATATATAAATATATTTTTTTAAGTTTCCTACATCTGGAGGTTGCATGGACGTACGCCGGCATGTCTTTATATTGTATACAGATTTTGCACGCCAAACTCGGCAGCTTTGGGGAAAGAGAAACGATGCCTTTCTTTCCCCTCTCATGATGTTTGCAGATGCAGAAGTTTTTTCTGTAATACAAAACAAAACCTTGAAGGAGAGGAGGGGGGAGTTTGAGTCTTATTGAACTTATTCTTAAGCAAATGTACTTTTTATCGTAAGGAAAATGAAAGGACTACTTACACATGCGTCACTAAGAAGAGTTTACCTAGCACCTTTGACAGAGAGTCGATTGTATCCATGGGCAAGCTCCACATCCAGACCCTACTGCCTGTCTCTCAAGCTGCTTGAGAGGATTTTGTTTTGTTTTGTTTGTTTCTTTTTCTCTCCCTAGACGGGGCCAGGTGCACCCTGCCTGCTGCCACTGGCCCCTGGTTGAGAACCAGGGGTTCAGGTGAGTCCCCATCTCGGCACAGCTGTGTTGATGGGTTTGTTCCTTCTGGAAGACACGGGGCTGGGGTTCCACATTGAGCAGTCCAGGCCTTTGTGAGCCCTGGGTCTAAGTGATACTTGGCACTGGAGGAAACCATTTCTCCCTCTCAAGGATCCGGGGCTGCTCTGCACCCGGCCTTGATGGCCTCACTGGCCTCACATTGATCAGAGTCTCCTATGGAAAGGAAAGAATGCAGACAGGCCTTGTTCTGGGGCGTACGCTCCATTGAGGAGGCGCTGTTTTCCACTCTGTACGAATGTTAAACACGCTGTTTCTATGTATGCACAGGAGGCTGACCTCACTCAGCGTGAGCTCACTACAGAAGTGTGGTCAGAGCCATTGAAGCGCTGCGACACGATGCTGTGTGGGCTCTGCAGCCACGACCACCTTCACTCTGTAGCAGCCTGTTTTCTCTTTGGTTGTCTGGACCTCCCCTTGGCGGCGCTTTCTCCTCTTGGCGGGGTTGGAGGTCATGTTTGGTTTTCTCATTCTTGTTTCATTTTGTGTGGTGGGTTTCACTGACCGGCGGTGTCCTCTGGCGGTCACCTCTTTCCACCTCCCGGGTCCAGTGTTTGTACCACATCACACACTTGTCACTCTTGTGGTGTAAATAAAGACTGCGTTAATTGCCCTCCCATCTCTGCTCTCCGCTTGTGCTCTCTCCTTCAGCATGTGCGTGCCTGGGAATCCGGGGACTGACTCCTGTGCCCGTGGGAATCATTGGGCCCTTCACTTGGACATCTGTCTAAATCAGAAGAAACTCTTACTAAGAAAACATTTAATTGAGGTGGAGGAGACTTAACAGTTTAAGAGATTCAGTCCGTTATCATGATGGGGGGAGCATGGTGGTGTTCAGGCAGACATGATGCTGGCTACATCTTGACCAGAAGGCAGCAGGAAGCCGACTGGCTGTCACTCTGAAGGAAACTTGAACAAAAGAGACCTCAAAGCCCACCCCCACAGTGACACACTTCCTCTAACAAGGCCACACCTAATAGTGCCACTCACTTTGGGAGCCATTTTGTTTGAAACCACATTCCACTCCCTGGTCCCCAAGGACTTAATAGCCATATCATAATACTTTCAATCAGACTTCACATGTCTCCATAGTCTATAATATTTCAAAGTCTCTTCAGAGACACATGGAAATTTCTTTTTTTTTCTTTTTATTCATTTATTTATTAAAGATTTCTGCCTCCTCCCCGCCACCACCTCCCATATTTCTCCCCCTCCCCCATCAAGTCCTCCTCCCTTGTCAGCCCAAAGAGCCATCAGGGTTCCCTGCCCTGTGGGAAGTCCAAGGACCACCCACCTCCATCCAGGTCTAGTAAGGTGAGCATCCAAACTGCCTAGGCTCCCACAAAGCCAATACGTGCAGTAGGATCAAAACCTATTGCCATTGCTTAACTGTCCCCCTGTAAAAATCAAAAAGCAGGTCACATGCTTCCAACATACAATGGCACAGGTATACATTACCGTTCCAAACTGCAGGGAAGGGAACCTAGGAAGGTAATATTGGACAAAAGCAAGACTGAAAACCAGCTGGGCCATCTCCAAACTCTGCAATTCCATGTCTGGTAAATGTTCCTCAGCTCTCTGACTCTGTTTCAGCCTTGATGACTGCAGCACACTTCCACTCCTGTTAGCAGCTCTCAGCAGGTACCCATGACGCTGTCATCTCTAACATCTCGGGGTCCCCAAGGCAGTCCAGGCTTCAACTTCACAGCTTCCCTCTATTAGGCCTCCATTTGGGGATACCCCTGATAGGTGTCTGGCCTCAGGGGCTTTATTCTTTAACTTCTTAATTTTATCCTTAACTCTAAATTCAGAACCACTTGGTCAGAGCTGCCAAGTTCTGCTGTTTGCTGGGACTGGAACAACATGGATCGCTTGTTTAATAACATCTTCACCAGCTTTCTATATTCACTGCCTAAGCTTGGATGACCTTGAACTTGCTCTGTAGACCAAGGCCTGCCTCAAACTCAGGTCTGCCAACATCTGCCTTCCCAATGCTGGCTTTAAAGGTGTAACCCAGCGCACTGGGCTCCAAGCTTTCCTTTAGTTCCTTTTCACGAGTTGGAAATTTAACTGGAGGGGATCTTGCCCGAGATTACCACTCCTTTGTCCCATTTCTTAATCGTTTATCTCCCTTGGGCGTAGAATTTTAGTTCTATTCCACTTCGTGGTGCTCTTTTTCTCCTTAAATTTTTCATTTTGTAATTTAGCCTGCTCAG